AACTTAGATATCTTAGGCTGTCCAAATCTGGTGTGTTTTCCCCAGGGAGGATTGCCCACTCCCAACTTGACTCAATTGGAATTCAGCAGATGCGAGAAGTTGAAGTCATTACCTGAACGCATTCACACCCTCACAGCCCTTGAAAGATTGTGGATAAGGAATCTTCAAAATCTGGAGTCAATTGCAGAAGATGGGGGTTTGGCTCCCAACCTCCAACATTTTAGGATTGAGAATTGTGAGAGACTGAGAGCTTCGTCTTCATCAGTGGGAGACCACTGTAACTGGGGTTTCCAAGCACTTGTCTCCCTTAAATACCTTAATATTGGTGGCAGGGGAAGTGATGAAATCTTGGAGACGTTGCTCAAGCAACAGCTGCTCCCTACCACTCTTCGCAGTCTCTGGATCGAGGAACTTTCAACTCTGAAATCTTTGGATGGAAAGGGACTTGCACACCTTACTTCTCTTCAAGAACTATTTATTAGTAGGTGTGACAGTCTGGAATACCTGCCAGGAGAGGCACTTCAACACCTCACTTCTCTTCAAAGGCTAGAAATTAGGTGTTGTGACAATCTCCAATTCCTGCCAGAAGAGGGTCTGCCGCCATCTCTTTCTTATCTGAAGATCTTCAGATGTTCTGGCCTGGAGAAAAGGTATCAGAATAAGACGGGACAAGATCATTGGGACAGCATATCTCACATTCCTTGCATCTGGATAAATGATGAAGTCGTCATATGATGATATGACCTCTCTCTCTCTCTCTCTCTCACATAGAGAAAAACAAACTCAGGTCAGGTATGTACTTCAAATAACCGCTTGAACTGCTTTTCTTCTAATTCAATACAAAAACTGAAATTCACTATCCAAATAAACCGAAATACACATTTTTATTATTTAATTCATATTCATTTTTGGCACACTCTGTCAGTAATCGAATCTTCAGTTACTATTGAGCTAGGAAACATTTCAAGCTCAATTTTGTTTTTGTTTTTTTTTGTTCTCCATTAATATTTCATCTCATTTCTAATTGCATGCATTTCCAGCTTTTTGTGAATTACATTGTCACTGCTGCTTACTGGTCTCATGATATTTTCTGATCAGAATCATTTTCCAGAAAAACACACAAAAACTCAATCCATTTTCTATTTACTCAATTTCTTCGCAACTTATATCTTAGTAAGTCTCAAATGCTGAATAATTAATACTCTTTTCGCAGGACAGCACCTTCTCTTGGAAAGCTTTTCTACAAAAACAATTGTCACAACGAGGGGAGACGGAAAGGTTCACCTGGAATATCTGGATTGACACATTCCTACAGATAGGCATCAAATGTCCCACATTTTTAGGTACTCTTTCATAATTAAAATGTATTCAATGTCTATGGATAACCTGTGAACTTAAGTTGTTAGATAACCTGTGAGCTTAAGTAGATATTCAAGTTCGTAAACTTAATTAGAAGGAGATGGGAAAAGTGGTAATTTGAATAATTGAGCAAGCCTCTGCCTTTTCTCATTGAAGAAGCTACATCCTAAGTGTTGACTCATGTTTTAATCTTGTATGATATGATATGCATTTGAGTCATAATGAAATATCAGTAGACAAAAAGCTAGTTGATAGTATAACATTACCTTTTAAACTCATGTTATAATATTGTATGACATGATATACATTTGAGTCATAATGAAATATCAGTAGACAAAGAGCTAGTTGATAGTATAACATTACCTTTTAAACTCACGTTATAATCTTGTATGACATGATATGCGTTTGAGTCATAAGGAAATATCAGTAGACAAAGAGCTAGTTGATAGTATAACATTACCTTTTAAACTCGTCTCATCTCAACCCATGCCGGCTTAATTAATATTACATGCCCTCAGTTAGAAGCTTATTTGCCCCACCTATGTTTCACCCACTTGATTTGTTTCCCTTAATTGGATTCATCGGCTGTATCACGGCTTAAGATTAGTTGAGATGTAGAGATGAAGATATCTTGACTCCTTCAACTTTGTTTACTACATATAATGTGTCTTGCTGGGGTGTTGACAATCTAATTTAATCCGCTCAAACTAATCAATCCAATTTAATTCAATTCAATTTATTTCAACAAATTGTATTCGACTTCTTAATTTAAAAACCCTTTTGTAATTACTGTGTATTCATCTTTATATTAACTATTTATAAGTATTTACTCTTGTGCTTAATTATTGAATACAATTATCGTTAATTTTAATAGGTTCATGCCATTAATTTATCTTTGGAATTTCCCAGGTACTGCATGTATGTTATAAACGTTGTCAGTGTCACTTTATTAATGTATATTTTCTTAGTATCAACCGGTGGTCTTTGGTTGAGCAGAAAGATCATTCAGCAATTACAAAATTTCCTTAGGGAATTAACCTTGTTTAAGCTTTGTTTATCATCTCTCTCCTTTTCTCTTTTAAGTCTTGGTTGTTCTAAGTTATGCCTTATCCTTATCCCCCACATCACACATATTGGAAAAGAATCTTGCCTTAAATTGCAAATTTGATTTTATTTATTATACTTGATAAATTCTGATTTTGTCACTTTGTTTCTCACTGGGGTGGCCTTTATCGGTATCCAAGAGCATGCGGATCACAACTTATGTCTGTCTTAAGTCTCAAATGCTGAGTTATTAGTCACTCTTCAGGGTGACAAGCCTTCTCATAAACATTTCTTCATTTGCAGGTTTCTTTCAAGTCACTGGCCGAGGAGAGGTTACCATTGTATATGGATTTTTGTTTTTCTACAAGCAAATTGCGGCAAAGAAGGGGAAGGAAATGTTCTACAGGTGGTGCTCTAGCAAGGAAATGTTCTCAGTCTAACATAACAAGCTTCACCTGTCCATTCACGATTAGGTAATCTTTCCCTACGTAATAACTTGAAAACGTCATTTATGAGTTTCCTTCGAGATGGATGAAAATGTGTACATATGTATGAATAACCAGTGAGAGCTCAAGTTCTAGGACAGACGATGTTGAGGAAACTCCATGCTTGGTCTTGTACAATACTATGATTTTCCTCCGGTTAGGGAATCACATAAGTGTTCCTTATGCAATGAATATTAATGCTGCACACTTCATTAATGACTTGTTTATTATTTAGAAGAAACATTTTTTTATTGAAAAAGATAGTAAAATACCACAGAAGTTAACGAGTACTCGTCCACCAGAGAACAGGAACAGAGCTGATCTTAAGAGACATACAACTATAAGAGCTTTAACAAAGAGATTATCCTTCGGCTGCCTTCCATCCCTGAATTGTGATTAAACCAATGCTCAAGGTGAAGATAGGGACCTCACCCTATTCAGAAGCTCTTCCATCCCCAACCCCTTATAATTGTCGAAAACCCTCCTTTTCCTCCCCTTCTGATGTTAGCCAACTCACTCCAGCCTTCCTGAATAATACATCCCTCAAATTTGAGATACTGGCATCCCTCAAATAATACATACGTATCAGCGTATCGTATCGTATCATATCACCATACCCGTATCCGTATCAGTGCAACGTAGCTGGGCAATAAACAAACAATTGGTCTGCACTCTCCCTTTTCATCGTACACAAAATGAACCAACTTGGAGAAATATAGGAATTAGGTCTCCTTTACGCAGCAAATCACACATATTCACCTTGTTGTGAGCCACAAGCCACACCAAAATCTTCAACTTTGTGGGAACCTTTGACACACAATTAATTTCACTATTCATGTTTTGTTCCTGGCTAGTCCCTTTAGGCCATCTCCAGTCATAGGGCTAAATGGGCTAAAAATTTAGCCCTCCAAAATACTAATTTTTTAAAGAATAGTGCATGGCTAAATTTTTCCATCTCCAACCATGCAGGGCTATATTTTAGGGCCCTTCAACTATTACAACACTCATATATTCCACAATTACAACACTCATATATTCCACAACTATGTATTGTTTAATTTAATTAAACTACGATTTAATTTTAATTTATATATATTTTAAAACAAAATGAATTTAAAACATTTAAAAAGGTTTTAAATAAATAAATAAATAATAACTTTTCAATCAATGGTTCTGACCTCCAACGATCAGAAATAAATTATATATGTTTTTTAAAACAAAACGAATTTTAAAACATTTAAGAAGGTTTTAAAAATAAAAATAAAAACATAATGGCTAACTGACGTCATCGATGACGTCAACGCGCCTTTAATATTGGCTGTTGGATCTGCAGTTGCACAAGATGTTTCGTACTCTTGCCCACGCGTGATACTTTCTCCTTTTGAGAAGAACATGCATTGGGCCCACAAAAAAGAAAAATTTGGCCTTAGCTAAAGCTAGGCTACATTTGGCCTAGTTGGAGGGCTAAATGGCCAAATATGGCTCTCCAAATTTGGCCAATTTTTTTTTTTTAGCCTATGGTTGGAGGTGGGTTTTACATTATTTAGGGCTATATTTGGCCTGTGGCCCATAACTGGAGATGGCCTTAGATGATAATTTTTATAGATGCAAAGGCTTCTTCGGTGCTGTTGTCAAGTAAAAGTATATTATTATTTTTTGTTATTAAACTATCAATATTATTATTATTGGCATCCTTATTTGTTTTGCTTCCCCATTGTTGTAATAGATAACATCCATGCCTTCTCATCTGATTTACTCATTTGCCAGAGTGGGAGGAATGAAGACTAGAAGGCCGGTGTCCAGATTTACCTCATCTCAAGGAGCTGACTTTAGACAAAGTGTCTGAAGCTAAGAGGAAGCTCTCTCATCTTACTTGCTTGAAAGACTAGCTTGTTGTCTGGGTATGGGGTTCTACATCATGAAAGGGCCACTACTCGTAACATGGACTACTTATCTCTTGAAGAATTTAGAAATATATGATGGATGCAGGGACGGACTAGAAATCTTACCTTATGGGGTCATAGTGTAAAAATTTGAAATTTTTTATATATCAAAATAACATTAGAAATGAAACATTCATTCATAATTCATATAAAAAACAACATTACAAGCTACAATTGTCTACGACGAGATTTCATATTTTGAAAACGTCGCATTATAGCTTCATTTTTAATACAAGCAAAAACATCATTCTCAACGTAAACAAGCAAATTATCACTCAACCATTGATCTCCCATTTTGTTTCGAAGTAATAACTCACATCAATTAAAGAGAACACTAAATTTATACCAATGAACTACCAAAAAAATTCATAAATGAAACATCTAATAAATCAAAATAAAATAATAAAATTATAATTTCAATCCAATTAATTTAGGCTTAAAGTTAGAATTTACTTGAATTGTGAGGTGGTGGACACAGCGGCAAACTTTTGGCAGCGGCGGCAACAATGGAGGAGATGGGGGATAAAGGTTTTGTTGTGTGTGTGTGTGGGGTGGTGGGGGGGGGGGAAGGGATGGAGGGTTCAGGACAAAATAATTAGGGTTTGGGAGTTGCTAGGATCGGGTGTGGAGGGGTTTTAGAATATATAGCTGGGGCTGTTTTAATTTTTTTTTGTAAGAGCAAGACCAAAACGACGTCGTTTTGGCCAGGTCATTTTGAAAAAAAGAAATTCGCTGGGCTAAAATAACGTCGTTTTTCCCAGCATTTTAACAAAAAATGAAGCAGTGCGCTGCTTCTTCTTCTTCCTTGCGCAGCAGCCATTTCATTCAGGCCAAACAACAAGAAAGTGGAGGGCATCCATGGGGTCACACAGTCAGCTTAAAGGGACCTTCAAGCTTATTTCCA